CATTTCTCTGTAAAACAATGAGAAGAATGTGTGGAAAGACTACACAGTGGGCCAAGACTAAAAATATATGTACCCAGCTCAAAAAAAAAAATAGAAAAAAATAAAACAAATAAATAATAATAATAAATAAATAAAAAAATAAAGAAAATACGTAAATTGATATTTAGGTAATTCCGAATATTGGGAATTTTGATTGGATTTTTTAAGAGTAAAAAAAAAAATATTCAAAGGGCCTCGGAAGTGGAGAAAAAAATATTAAAAGATACTTAGACCTGGATTTTTAAAAATTTTTAGAAAAATATTTAAAGACTTCCAACCTATGATTTTTGAAGCCATTTTGCAAAATATAAGTAGAGACTCTCAAACTTGGATTTTTTTTTGAAAGAATTTTAGAAAAATATTTTGAGATCCTCGGATGCGGATATTTTAGGAGTTTTAGAAAAATATTTAGAAGTCACCAATTTAGAAAAATATTCAGAGATCCTCTACGTGGATTTTTAAGGAATTTTAAGAAATATTTAGTATTCCCGGATGCGGATTTTAAAAGAGTTTTAGAAAAACATTTAGAAGTCGCCAAACGTAGATTTTTTAAGGAAATTCAGAAAAATATTCAGAGATCCTCGACTTTGATTTAAAAAAAAAATAGAAAAAGTTTTTAAGACTCCATCGGCGTTTTTTTTAGGGAACTTTAGAAAAATATTTACATATTCTCGGGCACAGATTTTTGAAGTAATTTTAGAAAAAATATTTAAAAAATCTTAAACGTGAATTTTTTAAAGAATGTTTTGAAAAACATTTAAAGGTCCTCGGACACTGGTTAGGAATTTGGAGGTCCTACGACAGGTATTTTTAAAGGAATTATAGGAAAATATTTAGAGAGTTTGGAGTTTTAGAAAACTATTCAGAGGTGCTCCGACATGAATTTTTTTAAATAACTTTATAAAAACAGTTTAAGATCCTCGGTCACGGGTTTTTAAAGATTTTTTAAAAAATATTTAGAGGTCCTTCAGCGGGGATTTCTTAAAGAATTTTAGAAAAATATTTAGAGGTCCTTCGACGTGGATTTTTTTAAACATTCGGAAAACAGTTAGAGATCCTCAGGCGCAGAATTTTGAAGACATTTTAGAAAAATATTTAAAAAATCTCAAACATGAATTTTTTAAAGAAATTTTGAGAAATAAAAAGGTCTCGGCGGTGATTTTTTAAGGAATTTCCAAAAAAAATGGGAGGTCCTACGACAGGTATTTTTTAAGGAATTTTAGGAAACTATTCAGAGGCCCTCCGACGTGGATTTTTTTAAAGAACTTTAGAAAAACTGTTAGGGATCTTCGGATGCGGTTTTTTTTTAAAGATTTTAAGAAAACTATTTAGAGGTCCTTCGACGGGGATTTCTTAAGGAATTTTTGAAAAATATTTAGAGGTCCTCGGACGTAGATTTTTTAAAGAATTTTTGAAAAATATTTGGATGTCTTCCGACGTGGGTTTTTTTAAAGAACTTTAGAAAAATAGTTAGAGGTCATCAGACGCGGGTTTTAAAAGATTTTTAGAAAAATATTCAGAGGCCCTTCGTCTGGGATTTCTTAAGGAATTTAAAAAAAATATTTACAGGTCTTCCGACGTGGATTTTTTTATGAATTTAAAAAAAATATCTACAGGCTTTTCGAAGTGGATTTTTTTAAACAATTTTAGAAAAATATTTACAGGTTTATCGACGTGGATTTTTTTAAACAATTTTAGAAAAATATTTACAAATCCTCCGACCTGGATTTTTAAAGAATTTTTAAGAAAAAAAGTTAGAGATCCTTTGCCGCGGATTTTTAAGAAATTCAAAGAAAAAATATTTTGAGGACCTCATACTTTAAAGAATTTTAGAAAAAATTAAGAAACATATTTTTAGAGAGAAATTTAGAGGATTTTTGAGATTTTTTTTTAGAAAAAAATTTAGTGAAATTTAAAAATCCCTGATTCGCAATCTGTAAATATCCGGAAATTGCTTTAAAATATCCTTGAAAAAATCGTTTGAAAACCACGACTGCTATCCTGAAAATTAGTTTAAATATTTTTGAAAAATCGACGCTTGGCATCCTTTAAAAACACATGAAAAAATTTCTTTGAATATTTCTAACAAATTCTTTTAATATCCTACGTCTGCTTTCATTTAATTTTAATAAGTTCTCGATTGTTGTCCCTTTAAAAAATCTCTAAATATTTCCTAACAGTTCCTTAAAAAGTCTCCATGTTCGGCTTTTAATTTTCCCTCAAAATTTTATAAAATTTTCTTAGAAATCAATTAAAAAATCCTTTTTTGTTCCTAAGAAATCGTTTAAAAAATTTTAGTCTCTTGAAAATGTCCCCATAAAACGCCTTTAAAGTCCTTCGAAAAAATCTCAGTTTTTGGCCTTTAAATGTCTCCCAAAATTTATTTAAAGATTTCCCAAAAATCATTTAAAAAATCTTCGTAGGCTGGCCTTTAAATATACCTTAAAAATTCTATAAAACTTTCCTAAAAAACCTCCAAAGAAACGTTAAAATGTTCCTCAAAAATTAGTTAACAATTATCAAAAATCCTTGATTGATTACCTTTATATACCCCTGAAAACTTGTTGAAAATCCATGACAAAAATTCGTTAAAATTTCCTTTTGATGATCTCCTACAAATCCAAAAAATAACCCTTTAATATTTTCCAAGCGTTGCCTTAACAGTTCACAATCTCAGATATCAGATATTTTTGGTCTCCTTTGTCACTGCCCATCTGCACCTACCCTCGTTTAACAAATATCATGGCTCTGTTATTTACAAAACAACATAAAAATAACAGATTCCCTGTTATTTTAATAACTCCGTCTCTAACATACCATGTGTAACATGCTCTCTGTTACTCTCTTCCACTCTCTCTCATTCCTTCCATATTCAGCCATGTTTAACCTTAGTAAACTACTAAGCAGTCATTAGTAAATGGCAACGGCATAACAGCATACCCCCAACCATATGAAAAATGTAAACAAAACAAGTGATGAGAGTGAGTGCCTGAGAGAGCGAGAGATAATGCCACTGCCAAACCAGACACCAACGCACACAGTGGGAGAGCCAGCCGTGGAAAGACAAAACTTGTTTCATCATATCGGTGGCTTCTTCTTCAGTTGTTAGCGGTCTTTTTAAGCGTCTGGTTGCAAGGAAACGCATGAAATTTTTTTTGTAACTCCACCTCGTTGTAATAATACGGCGCGTCGTTATTTGTCGTCGTCGTGATCGTTGTTGTTCTTTTACTTCTTCTATGAGAACAGTCGTGGTCGTCATCGTCGTGGCTTGTCGTCGGTGTCCGAGCTGTTGAATTCATGGCTTGGTTACTTTGATGGATGGATTACGGTGCTTTGTTTTGTTGAGAGTCAATGTGTGCGTCTGTGTGAAAGAGAATTAAAAAAGTAAAGGAGATAAAAGAATTACACAAAAAAATAAAAACAAAATGCCGTCGGCTTGGCATGGAGATTTAAGAAAAAATTAAAGGAAATTCAGTAAATAAATTGGAAATTAAAGAAAAAATAAAGGAAAATAGTGAAGAATTTAAAGGAGAAATAAATACAAATTAGTGTTGTGTTGTGTGAGTAAAAAATATAAGAGTTTTAATGAGGAGAAATTGAGGAAAAATACAACTCATTGTGGTGTAAGTCAATATTGCGACCTGTGGATTACTAAAAAAGGAATATGACAACGGATAATGGCGGAGAAATACGCGGAAAATTCATTTAAGAATATAAAATTAGATCCCAAAATCTTAAAAATGGAAGAAAAAATAAGAAAAATTGCTAAAATTATAGAAAAAAATAATCAAAAAACCAAAATTAGGAATATTGGAAAATAAAAGTATTTAGAAATAATTATTTTAAAAATGTGAGAAAACGACAAAGATTTGGAAAAAAATGAACATTTTTAAATTGGGATTTTAAATGCTAAAATTGCAAAACAATGAAATAAAATACAAGTTTATTTTAAAATTTAGGTGTAAAAGGAAAACTAAACTAAAAACTACTAAAAGAAAATTCGGCATTTCCCGAAATGCCAAATACCAATAAAAAAATAAAAAAAAAATTATGAAAAACTGAAAACATGGCATGAAAATTTTTACTTTTCGGTGGAAAAATTGAAAATATGTAACAAAATTTAAAAACCAATAAATAATTAATGATTGAGTGATTAAATCAATTAAGTATTGGAATGAGAAATTAAAATTTTGAAAAAAAACTAAAAAAATCATAAGAAGAAAATTATATTAAAAAATATGAATTTTTTAATGCTAAAATTGCAAACAAAAATTTTTTAGAATTAAAAAAAAAAAAATTAAAATTTTGGTTACAAAAAAAAAATTAAATAACAAATTTCCAAACTTAAAATTTCGTCGGAAACCTATTGGAAATCCGAATTGTCAAATTCCAAATTCTTTATTAGCAGTCCAAAAATTTTAAATAAATTGATGTTTTTTAGTGTTTTAAATTTTAAATTAAAAAATAAATTTTATTTAATTTCAGGTAAACTAAAATAATTAAAAAAAATCTGACAAAAAAGTTTGAAATGGAGCAAAAATAAAAATAATATTTTATCAAAGAAAATTCAAAATTTGATCAAAGAAATCAAATCTAAACAGAAATAATAAAAAGTATTTGTAATTAAAAACAAATAATAAAAACTAATATTTCAAGGAAATAAAAATTGATATTTTGATAAAAACGGAATTTAGTTCTTCACCCTCCTAAAAAAAAAAATATTAAAAAAATAATTAAAAAAGTGCACAAAAATTTGAGAAATCTGGAAAATCTAGAGCTTTACAGAAATAATACAAATCGGAAAATTATAATTTTTATAATGAAAAGGTGTCAAAATATTCAAACAGAATTTTCAAAATAAATAATTAGAAAAATCAAAGAATCTTAAAAAAAACAACGAAACCCTCAAAAGAAGGAATAACTTGTTTCTCCTGGAAAAAATATAAAAAACAACACAAAAAATGGCCAAATTTCCACGAAATACCCCACCAACCAGTCATTTTCTGGCCCTCTTCTTGATATTCATAAACCTCAATTCATCGCCCACCAGTGCAGTGCATCGCTATGACCAATCATCTTCGATAGAGTCAAGCAATCCCTACTATCGCACCTCCAGTTCCGGAGAGGTTGTGGGCTCCACCTCAATGTCGGGAGATGATGCCTTCCCCCACCACAATCGCTGCGAGCCCATAACCATTTCGATTTGTAAAAACATACCCTATAATCGGACAATAATGCCCAATTTAATTGGACACACCAAGCAGGAGGAAGCCGGTCTGGAGGTGACACAATTTGTACCCTTGGTCAAAATCGGCTGCAGTCCTGACCTACAGCTGTTCCTTTGCTCGCTTTATGTACCGGTTTGCACAATACTCGATCAACCCATACCGCCGTGTCGTTCTTTGTGTGAATCCGCACGGGTTTGTGAAACCCTAATGAGAAATTACAATTTCAATTGGCCCGAAAATTTAGAATGTTCAAAATTTCCCGAACATGGTGGGGAGGCATTGTGTGTGGCGGAAAATTCAACGGCCTCCACCCCACCTCCGACGAGGATATCGAAAAAGGTTACAACAAGGAAAAATTATGCCGGCATGGATAGTCCTCATCCGCATCGAGATATTGGCTTTGTTTGCCCAATGCAAATGCAAACGCCACCCGATATGGGCTACTCGCTGAAAGTTGGAGGAAAGGTGAGTTCGTTTTGGAATTATCTCGGATTTAATTTTTATGTTTTGCAAATTTCAAAAAACCTAGGGAGAATTATAAATCAAACAAATATCTGGTATAATTTTTTTCCGCTTAAAATGGTCGCTGATTTATGCTTTTACGAGGTCATACTTCCCCAAATAGCATGTGGAGTTTTGGCTCAATGTGGAATTGCATTCTCAATTTTTTCATCAGTTCAGAACGTAAAGTCAGGAATCGACGGCTCAGAATTCTATCAGAATATTTCGGGTAGCGATAGGTAATAATCGATCACACCACCTTTAGTACTCAAAGTTCTGAAAGCCGTAGTAACCGATTAATCTATTTAAAATGATTCGAGATAAAACCTCATTTTCGTTGTTGAAATTACAGAGAATGGTCACAAAGTCATGCTCGAAGGACCATTTTTCCTGAATCCAAAACAAAAATTTGCATTTACATACAGCATCTATTTTATATCTTAAAAGGGGATAATCTTTTAAGTATTCGAATGCTTCAAATATTTCGATTAAAAAACTGCAACAAAATCAAATGCCATAATTTTTAATTTTTTTAAATTTTATTGAATAAAAGCAAGGAAAGTCGGAAATAGCATCAAATTTTAGAATAAGTTTAGATTTGTTCGATTTGGTTACCTTTGGCACGAATTATGGCCTTCAAATGGCCAATGAAACCGTCACACGCTGCTCGAATGTTGCTCTGCGGTATTTTGGCCCATTTCCGGCGAAGCGCTTGCTTGAGGTGATCGCCACTTTGCTTTATTTTCAGTGCCAATCTTGCTTTCCAAAATTCTCCAGACACAATAGTCCAACGGGGATTGATATCCGGAGACTTTGGTGGCCATTGTGCACTGGAAATGAAGCGAGGAACCTCATTTTGTAACCATTCTTGGGTGGCGAACCATTTTGAGTGCGATGGTGCTGAGTCCTGTTGGAATGTCCAAGGTCTGCGGCCAAAATATTTGCATGTCCAAGGCTTTAATACACCCTACAGAATATTTTCGCGGCTATATTCGGCATTTATTCTAATGCCACGGTCGCTTAATACGAGCGGATAGCGACCATCGGCTGTTATTGTGGCCCACATCAACACCAAGGCCGGCGTGTGATTTCTGGTGGCCAACCGAAGGCACACATTTTCAGCTAAGATCTTTGGCAGGTAAACACGATGATTTTGTTTATTTACAAACTGCTGGACAACGAATTTGGTTTTCTCATCGCAGATAACCAAATTCGGCAGTTCACCACTTTTTCGGTCAAGCGAAGCAACTCTTTAGCTCTTTTGAGTCTATTTTCTTTCGGTTGAGGTGTAAGTTCTTGCACTTTTAGGAATTTCAACGGCTTTGCCCCCAGCTCAGTTTTCAATATTTGCCGAATGGAATATTGCGATATGTTCAGCTCACAAGCCATTTTTCGGCCAATGCGCAGCGGGTTTCGATCAAGTCGCTCCTTTACTTTTCGAACCATTTTTGCTGATGTTGCTGTTTTCTTCCTTACACTTCCTTGAGGTTGGGCTACGCTACCAGTATCACGGTAACGAGTGATAGTACAAGACACAAAAAATTTATTCACATCTAAATGCTGGAGTGCTCTAACGATAGCCACTTGTGGTTTTCAAAATTCAGAAATCAAACTATCCCGCTTGAATTCCGAACACGAATAACTCTTTTTCTGGAAAATTCTCACCAAAAAGGCTTTTGCATGCTTGTAAACAATATTGAGCTGTCACTCGAATAATTTTAACGGCTGTCGGACGAGTGGCTTAGAAATGACAGCAGTCTGAAGTTGGTTGCAGTTTTTTCATATATTTTTCGTATTAAATGGCCGTGGTGGCATCAGAATAAATGCCGAATATTATCGCGAAATGTTCTGGAGGGTGTATTAAAACCTTGGGCACTCAAACATTTTAGCCGCAGACGACCTTGGACATTCCAACAGGACTCCGCACGCGCCACCCAAGAATGTTTACAAAATGAGATTCCTCGCTTCATTTCCAACGCACAAAGGCCCCCAAATCTCCGGTACCAATCCGTTGGACTATTGTGTCTGGAGTATTTCGGAAAGCAAAGTTGGCACTTAAAAATACCAAAGTGTCGATCACCTCAAGCTAACGCTTCTCCGGGAATGGGCCAAAATATCTCAGATTAACATTTGGCCAGCGTTTGACGGTTTCATTGGCCGTTTGAGGGCCAAATTTCTTGCCAAAGGTGACCAATTCGAACAAACCTAAACTTATTCTAAAATTTAATGCTATTTCCCACATTTTTGCTTTTATTTTATAAAATTTGAAAAAAAGAATGTAGAAATTATGGCGTGTGACTTTTTGCAGGATTTTTTTTTATCTCACTCTGTATATAGACGCTGCATGTGAATGCAAATTTTTATTTGTTTCAGTAAAAATGGTGCTTCGATTGCAGGTTAGTGCCACTATTTTGCAAGTAACACTTTACGATCCCATCCATAGAGAGGGAGACTTCCTTTTTCAAAGAAGAAGATCCTGACATGCTACAACAATTATGGTCCTCCCTGCCATATATAAGTAACACTTAACGATCCCATCCATAGAGAGACTTCCTTTTCCGAAGAAGAAGATCCTGACTTGCTATAACAATTATGTTCCTTCCTGTAATATAATGATAGAATGTCAGATATAAATAAAATTTCTCAAATCTTTACAATTCTTATTTACCTGTTGTTGCAAAATAGTCAGGCTTAATTCCAGTACCGTTGTTTTTTTATAAAAACAACGTTTGTTTATTGTTATTTACGTTTAGGAATTATTTGGTCCTTCGATCTGTTGCAATTTCAATTAATTCTTTATGAACCCTGGTCCTTGGTTCAGGTACATTATTCGACAGTAAATTATTCTGATAAATAACTATTTGCCAGTATTTATGAGCTTTTCCCTCATTTTCATGCTTAGCATCGCTGTGTTGAGGACTACCGACACCAGTATCTGGAATATATATCTCTTCCCATTTCTGAGGAAGAAGATCTCAACTTCCCAATACAATTGTACTAATTTTCTGTCATCCTAATATTCAACCCAATCCTCTCCTGATTATTACTTTTTAAAAAACTTGATTGTGAAACATTTGTAAAACACAAACTGAAATAGGGAGTCGGTCAATCGAAAGTAGTGTCTGAGACAGACATTTCCCGAAGCTATCATGTTCCAATGTATTGCCCAAGTAGTTAACTTGATAAACTACTTGGCGATTTGAAACGGCAGCCTTGTTTCTTATCGATATTTCTCAGAGCAAATGACTTCTTTTCGAGCTGTCGAATGATTGCTAAATACCGCAACTTACAACTTATGGATGCACGGCATGGCGGGAAAGGAGGCACAACATTGGTGACAAAAATTTATACCCACTATCGATTACTGTATGACAATTTGCAACACCTTTTAGAGTAAACTGCAAGAAAAACAAAAAACGCAGGCCAATATGGCTAGCCAGCCAATCTATATGGCCAGCAAGCAGGCAAACGAAAATAAAACAAACATGAAAACGTAACAATCAATGGAAATAGGGTGCAGCTTTTCTGTGTGTCCCTCCATTGCCTTCTACCAATTCCCCCTTCTTTTTTCGCCATTTTCTGAAACAGTTTTCGAAATGAAAAGAAAAATATGTTTTGGTCATAATAATGACACTAAATATCAAATAATTAAATATTAAATGTCGGGCAAACGAAGAAAAAACTGTCATTTTTCCAAGCCACTGAATTGGCAACATCAACAACACCCAGGCCAAAAATATACTCGGCTTTACACATACTCTGTGGGCCCATATTACGCGTTTAATTAGCTGACATTTGACGTTACTTTGGCGAACACATTGCTGGCAGTTTTCTTGCCTTTGATTCACAACTACCAGCACCACCACCACAGCAGAGGCAACAAAATTAAGAAATATGGCGTTGAAGTCGTTAACGACTTCTTGTCAATTTGTTAAAATGACAGTTGGTTTAGGTTTGTGGCAAATACTAATTTGCTAAAAAAGAGACCATAAGAAAAATAAAGTTTGTTAACTTCCCTTGGCTATGTTTTTTTTTTTTATTTAAAAATGGCTGAAGAAAAGAGAAGAATATAAAATAAGAAAACGCAAGACTTATTGCGGAAAGAAATAACTTCTAAATTTGATGATGGACTAAGCTCTTGAAAATTAGTCATCAGAGACTTCTTGTTGTAAAAGAAAATGGTCCTTCGATTAGGGATTTGCTTGAGAGTGTTTCACAAAAAAAAAACCGTAAAGCTTCAAACTATTGCGGCAGTCTACTAACAGGGCTTTACAATTTACTTTCTCAAAAGAAAATGGTCCTTCGACGAGGGGTTCGCTTCAAAGTGTTTCACTCGTAACAAAGCAAACTATTGAGGCAGTCTCCTAACTAGGCTTTTCAATTTAAAATAATCCCAAAAGAAAATGGTCCTTCGACGTTCTTCTTAAAATTTCAGAATATAAAACTTCGCTACGGGTTTAGGTCTCACTGCGAACAAAGTACGCCCTTGAAAGCTAGTTATCATGAGACAATCTCCTAACTGGGCTTTTCAATTTACTTTCTCAAAGAAAATGGTCCTTCGAACCCCTACGCTTCAAAGTGTTTCAGTCGTAAAAGTACAAACTAGTGAGGCAGTCTCCTATCTAGGCTTTCCAATTTAAAATAATCCCAAAAGAAAATGGTCCTTCGACGTTCTTCGTAAAAATTTTCTTGGGATCTTACAAGGTCCATTTTTGTTTACTTTAAAAAATTGGCACGGTATTGAGACGCTGCATGCAAATGCAAAATTTTATGTTTCAATAGAATATTATCCTTCGATACGGGTTTAGGTTTAACTACTGAGAATGTATGCCTTTGTAAGCTGGCGACATGAGGCCTTTTTATTGTTTCATTAGAAAATGGTCCTTCGGTGGATAATATTTTCAATAAACGCTGTAAAATGCTGGTTTGATACAGCTACCTCCATTTTAATAAATTAAGAAAAT